GCTGTTTAGCATCTCTAATGCCGGTTTGATGTTGTGGTGAGAGATATTTGACTGAAAGATAAGAGATATAAGTTCTAATTCTCATTCTGGCACTTAATATTCGTGGAGCTTGGGACAAGTCACTTAATATCCTTGGTCTCACTTTCCCATCTATCAAATGAAGGTGCTTAACTGGATAATTCTATGTTCAGTGCCAATATTACCATTTTATGGTCTTTGATATTGGGTTTCAAAGACATGCTCAACTCTTTTCTTCTTTGAGGAAAGTTTTAGAGGGATACTTTTCACATTGCAACCTGGTCAAGCAATCAAAGGAAATAAATATCATTTTGATATTGTAATTAAGATTTCATTTGAATCACATGTGAAATTCCTTAGAGGAGAGAGAACTGATAGAAAAATTTCTAGTAATTTATCTTATGTGTTTATCCACTGGTTTTGATTAATGCCTGAATTACTCATGAGATTATCTGCATTGCTCATGAGTTGGCGTAAGAGGAAATATACAAGGGGTTCTCAGGGACCACAAAACTAGGGATTATTGAAATTCCCCAGCCAAATAATGGGGTCTACCCATTCAAATGTAGTACTGACTCTGCAGTTGTACAGACAGTAATAATATTCTTTAAAAGAGGAAGGCAATGTTTGAGATTTATCCTGGTGTCTTGTAGGCTACCTCTTTTCTTTCAGGAAAACTGGGATCTAGCTCCTGTTAATAAGGATACAAGTTATATGTGATCATATAATGAGAGCAGAATATATTTTAACTCTTAAGTCACAATTGGATTCTCTGCCTAATGACTTCCTCACCTTGAAAGCTATATTAATTATTCCAGCTACCAGGGGCTGTTAGCAAATTCTAATTGGATTTCTGGACGCTTTCAAGTTTGTGGACTGAGAAGTGGTGACTTTGCTTCTCAAAACACACTCTATATGATAAGGTATAACATGTAACTGGAAGGAAGGCACTGGAGGCTCTGGCTGTGTGTGTTTGTGTGTGTTTGTGTGTGTGTGTGTGTGTGTGTGTGTGTGTGTGTGTGCGTGATGTAATAGATATAGTTAATAAGTACAAATAAGTTAGATGACAAATGACAGTCTTACCAGTTTATGTTTCTGTCTTTTCCCTGCATTTGTGGGAGGTAGTTTCCTCTTCAGCTGTTTAGTTAATACATGAATTATCTTTTCATTGTCTCCGGTATTTGCTGACTTTAGTTGGATCTTCTGAAAACATGAAAAAGCCGACCGCTCACAGTGTCTCTGAAAGAGAAATAATTTGTATAGATGTTAATGAAAGTTATTCAGAAAGTAAAAATGACCTTCCCAATCCTCTTTTCCTACTTCTACTGCAGTGTCTTGGGTCACATTTATTTTAGCAGACAAATGAGGAATGATTTCATGTCCTACTTAATCTTTGGGCTAAAGAGCAGACTCTTGTGATATAAAATTTCCCCGTGCTAGGGGAGAGAGGACATTTTCCTGTCTCACAGACAAGAAGAGGGAGCTTTGCCACGGTTCTTTATTCCTAATGTCATTTTGAGGTCTGGGTGTTGGGCAGGACTTGGTATTTCATAAGGGAGAGTTAGTTTGGTTTTAGAACACACTTTATGAATTATGAGGCTCTAAGAGACATTGTGACTGGTGGCAGCTTTGGGTGAGTTACGCTGTAGTCTGATTAAGAATCGTTTCATTTGTCTTTTGTTTCTCTCTGCAATGTACGTAGGAGTATCTAACAATGACACACATGTCTTGAGCAGCACCTTATCCTGTACAATGCCTGGCATAGTGTCTTGTTGCTAGTGAGTGCTCAACAAATATTTGTGGAGTGGACAAATTAAGTAAGTGAGTTAAAGCCCCTCCTTTGGGGAAAGGAAGTGGGTGCCTACCTCTGATGGCACATTCCACGCCTAAGATTCAGTACACCTGCTGTAGACCATGCGTGACTTTTCTAAAATCCTATTCACACTCTCAAGTCCATTAGGGTGGGATCTGCCTGAATCAAGCAGTCAAGGAACAGAATTTGAGACATGCCTCCCCCGCAATGGGCAGGAAGACTGTCCCTTAGAACATAAGAGTAATGTCTCAGAGCATGGAGAAGTGGGCAGATCAAGGATCAAAAACTTGACTCTTGCTTTAATCAAATAACCAGTGACTAGTGAATAAGTCAAAATGTTAGAAATTGAGCTGAAAATGAAATGGAATTGATTGGAAGAACAAAATTTATACTGGTTTGTTGGAAACATTTTAATGCTGATCTAAGAACTTGTATCCAGGTTACTTTTTTCTTTCAGCAAATGTCTGTATATGATGCTATCCACCGCCCTAAAGTTGCTATATCTTCATTTCACCGGTGTATATGGAAGTTACCGCCATGTATACAGAAGCCTCAATTTTTCTCAGTTCCTACAAGGGCCGTCCTATATACAACAATACTACCTGAGTCTTCCCATGACAATCAGCTGAAAATAGCATCTGGCCTGCTTTGCATTTTCCAACCTATATGCTTACCCATTATGAATGTTGATTAATAACATGCATCTTTAAGACACAACCCCATCAGATTTGCTTTGCATACGTGGCCACAAGCCGAGAACCAGCTTATCTGGTTTCCTTATATCAGAGCAGCTTGCCTCTCATAAGGGCGAGATAGTGTCCTTTACATATGTTTGCCAAAATGCTTATTTAATAGAAACTATATATAAATGTTAATTATAGCACTTTTTTTTCCTTGAAAACCACATGTTCATGTTTGTTGAAGTTTTTTCTTTTCTCTTCTTTTTGACCACAACCGGCTTAACTTACTGGAAAAAAATAATATTCATATTTAAAGAGGTAAATTTTCCAGCTGAAACTGAAAACACTAACTGTTTCATCCGTGATGATCTGAGAAACCAGCATTTCTCACAGAGACCCATTTTGCTGAGTTAACATTTACATGTGGATGTTGAAAGAAAATTAGGTTCCAAAGAACTATAGGGGCCTACCAAATGAACTCCCTTGAGACAGGTATCGCCAAGAGTGGTCAACACAAGCAAGCAAAGATTTTGCACCTGAGAAAGCCTTTCTGAAAACCTCTGAATGGCATCTGGACACCAGTGCCTGTATTGATGGGGCTGTGCTTTCTCTCCTGCCCTTCCTTGTTCACCTGTGTCAATAGACATTGGAATTTTGCTTTGTACTTTCTGCAAGCAGCAGAGCTATCCCTGGCAATCTGTGGTCCAGGACAAATACCTGCTGGATTTGGCTTCAGATGCACAGTAAAGGCAGCCTCAATAAGGAAAAGAAGCAAAGGAGCTGTTCTGCTAAACTGCCTTAAGGATGTGTTGAGAAGAGGAGTAGAGAGATTAACTTCGATTCAGGCAGCTTAGGTGCCCTGTCACTCAGGATGACCCCAAGTTCACGTGCAGCACTACCATCTGGGAGCAGAGCCACTGTTTTGCTTTGCTGTGCCTTGCAGACTTAGAGGGCAAGGCTTTGTTTCCCTCATCCTTTAACACCTGGAAACATGAGGAGTTATCCGTCCTACATTAGTTCTGCAGAATCGAGGCAGCAGTAAGGAAATCAAAAGCAAGAGTAACAAACCACTCTTTTTAGCTAGTCAAGTGCTGCTTTTGCAAGGAGGTGCACTTGGCTTTGTTGATTTGCAATTGAATATTTGAAAATATTTGCTTCCTTACAATTTATTTTTGACCTACTTAACGTTTCTTTCTTTTTTTCTTTTTTTTTTTTTTTTTTTGCAAAGAAAGCCCTGGCCATTCACACTACGAAGTCTTGCTAACTGGGTAAAATTACCTTTGTCCTGCATACAAACTAGGTTTATATCAGGGTTCCTCAACAGTGGCACTGTTGACATTTTCAGATGGATAATTCTTGGTTGTCAGGACTGTCCTGTGCATTCTAGAATGTTTAGTAGCATCCCTGGCCTCTACCTACTAGATGCCAATGGAAACCCCACACACACAATTGTGCCAACTAGAAATTTTTCCAGACAATGCCAAATGTTCTCAGAGGGCAAAATCACCACCAGATGAAGACTACTGATTGTATGATTAGAAAGAGAAAGAAAGATGCCTGGTGAGGCCAATTAGCAACCTTAGATGATCACTATATATCAACATTTATATGCAACATTTAAATGAACTTATTTTCATTAAACTTGTTAATCTTTTTAACTCTTTATAGACTCTGCTTTGATGCTAGCCCTGAAAAACTTGATATAATGCTACTGTGGCCTTGAACTATTTTCTTCTCTCCTGGGTTTGCCTGCCAGCATAGCTTAAAGATCTTAGTAATACCATTATTCACTTGTATCATAGCCAGCATTGCTTGATCAGATTATCAGATAGATACAGTGTCACTGAGACAAAATCCTGTCATTATAAGATAAAAAAGATCTCTCTTTAACAAAGGATATAAAGGAAGTACCCACTGGATCAACTCAAGTTAGAAAGTGGGATATCTAACTTGGAAAGTTAGAGACTGAGCTAAGAATCTCCCCAAAGGACTCTAACCACAGCAGTTAGACAAAAGGCATGAGATGCTAAAAAAGATACGTTTTGATAATTAGGGCATTAAGAAATAGTCTTACTTGTTGGAAAAGTCTTTCCAATGAGCTGAATGTGCTACTTTCATTTTAGGTATTGCTTATTAGAAAAGGACCTAGTAAATGAGAGTGGTTAGGTTCAGAGCTAGAGAGTGAATTTTAGAGAAAAGCAATAGTTGTGACTCATTCACTTTCTAAACTTCTACACATAGTCATTTACGATAATTGTTTTCTTTGCAATGTATCTTCCTAAGTCTCCCCTTTGTAGTGTCCTAATTACTGGTAACACTTTTATAGTTATTCTAATTTATGCAGTTAAAGGTCTGTGACACTGAAAACATTTCCCCCAGTTGTGTTTATATGCTCAGGGTACCAAACCTGAAGACTAGATCGAAGTTACCAAGGAAAAGATCAGCACATAGCACACTTGAACTGTACGCTAGGATAGGCCTCTTCTTCCTGGGACCTAATGGATTTAAATGGCTTAAGAGAACAGGATGACTTGTTGTAAACCATCCTTTCAAAAGACCTCACCGAAGGCCAAAGACAAGACTCATTGAGGCCAAGGTACATGGGAATTATATTCTAAAGGAGGCCTTGATTTCCACACTACCATTCTTCCATGCCGTGCTATAATGTATTCCTTCTTTCTTTCTTCCCTTCTTTCTTTATTCCTTCCTTTCTCTCTTTGTCTCCCTTTCTTCTTTCCTCCCTTTCTTTCTTTTTTTCTCTTTCTTTCTTCCTTCCTAGTTATTAAAAGGTGAATTCTGCTTCTGTGGTATGTGTCTATATTTCATACATAGGTTTACAAAGAGGGCTCAAGAACTTTCATGCACAAGGATTCTTAAAATGTAATTAGTTGGTCATTGTTCAGAAAATGATCGTAGTGTAGATTTATTTTCTAGTTTTGTATTCTATCTCAACAATACTACTTGAGAATACTCTTAGAGATATTTGGAGATAAAAGTACATCTTGTAAGGTATGTAGTGTTTTATTGGTTGGCTTGTTGGTGAACCAATGAATATTTGAGCAAAATAGAAATAACTATTTTACCAATTATTAAACCCCGAAATTCATGGAAATTAAGTATATTTCTAAATAATCATGTTAATGCCTCTCTTAATTTGATTTTAAAACATGCCAAATTTATTTTCACAAATAAATTCAACTGGTCTTACCTTTACATCTTCTGGAGCTGGCAGAAATTCAGGGTCCTAGAGCAAAAGAAAATTAGTTCTGAGTTATTTATATAAGTCAAAAAGCTCCTTTTATAGTAATTGAAGAATATTATTTAAACTTTTTTGTGACAAATATGGCCTTACCAAGTCATTCACATAGTTTTTCAGCTGATCAACAATATCTATAAGTTGACGCAGTCTAATCAAGAGGCGATCTTGCCCTTGGAAGCTTGATTTATGGGCCACTGTCCCTGAGAAGAGGACCATCAGGCAGATGACTATTCTCTCCATGTTGCCAGGTCTGGATCTCGTAAGTGCTAGTAGAGCAAGACCTTGGTCTCAGTTTTCACCTCAGTTTGTGAACAGGCTGTCAGTAAAGCTATCTATTTATTCATCCTTCAGGGAGAGATAAAGCCCTCCCATTGCAGCCTGGAAATCTTTGTAAAATGGATGAATGTGAGTAACTCTTTTTTCTTTTCCGCTGGCTAGGTATACGTGTGCATGTGCTAATGCGCGGGGGCAGGGATTGATGGAGTCAACGAAATGTGCCCCATCTGCATCTTAGACAGGAAAAAGAGAGAAATGGGTGAATTCCAATTTTCAGCATGAATCAAGAAGTGTGCACAGTAAATAAAAGCTACTACAAGACTTCAAAGAAGTAAACAAAATACTTTGATGTCTCCTTCTGTGCCTCCCTGGCATCTTACCTGTTCTCCCTGACAGTCATAAGGGCACTTCAATAATGAGTAAAGTGGCAACATGTGCTTTCTTGCAGGATTTTTTCTTGTGGTAGTAACTAGGCTTTTTGACTGAAATCGTCCAGTATTCCATCATAAAGGTAGGAGGAGAGTTACCTTTTAGGAAATTTTAAATATCAGGGGTATTTTCCAAATTAGCAAGAATATTTTAGGTTCTTAATCAGGTTAAATGGTTTAAAGTAGAATGTGCTCCAACTCTTCTCCAAAGCATCTTTAAGTAACATTAATCTCAGCTTCTAACATTTTACTTAACAATCTGATTTATACATATCGTCTTATCCCCCAATCAAGATCTCACTCTACCTTCATTCAAAAGAAAGAAAAAAAAGAAACTCTGTAATGTCTATCTCTTCTATATAATGCATCAGTTAAATGAATGAAAAGTGCTAATACTCATTCCTCTCTAAACCAAAATTTTATTTCAAACAGCAAAATCCAAAAATACCCATAAGTGACTCTTTTTCTCTTCGGGTGGTGTTACTTATTATTTTCTCTGGGTACGAACAACACATTTCTAACTATGACAGATAGAGGTTAATAAAAAGCTCAAAGTCCAGAAGTGGTTTTATCATCCTCCTCTCTGCTGCTTCTCCTCTCCCTGCTACTCTTCACTCATTTGAGAAAGCTGAACACGATATTCCAGAAACATAGAAGTAGTATTGTAGCTAGTCAACTAGGCCTTACAAATAAAACTCTTGACTGTAGATTTTGTTTATCCATTTATTTCTTCATCTGTTTCATCACAAGCTTACAGCCATACTTTTTTCTAAAATGTTATCTGGCTAAGATAAATTGGACTTTGGACTTGATTTGCTTTGAAGGTTGTTTGTAATCTTTTTACCATAAAATAAAGGTATCAAGGTATCTTTTTACCATAAAATAAAGGTATCAAGAAGTCCTCCCTATAATCATTAAATTCCATAGGGGAGGGTTCATGTGTAAACCCATGAAATACATATGGACTTGGGGTTGCCAGTTGGCACCTCAAGATTGCCTGCATCACCTTTGTGCATGCTTTCTGTATCTGCTAGAGAGATGTGAGTCTCCTTGAAGACACTAACCACAGTATTCAAGAGCTCAATTTCTAAAGCAAAGTGCTTGAATTCAAATCCAGGCCATAACAATTAATTGTACATATGACCCTGGATATGTTATTGCAAAAAGAAGGTAAGTATAGAATCTAATCATAGGGTGTGATGAGGCTTAAATAGACATTCCAAGTAAAAGGGCCAAGTACAGCACACAATAAAATCCCAGAAGATTTGTGTGCTGACCGTGGATGAGGGTAGAGAGGAGAATTTATAGAAGCCTGGAGACTCTAATGGATCCCTGGAAGGAAGAACATGGGCAGGTCATCCAAAATACAAGGGTGTTCCTCTGCTGGTCATGAAAAGGTCAATAGTCTTTGGTGCTGCTTAGAGAGAATCACTCATCCCGACTCTGGAGTGCCTCACTACCACCCTAGACACCCCAGTTGCTCCCTGAGACCTCCCAGCCCTCTGCAATCCATCAGCCAGCATGCCAGGATCTCCAAGGTCCCACTCTAGCCTTAGGACCCAAGAGCTTTCTGAGTCAGATCCCCTGCTTTAAGTGGCATTTCAGTTGTTAAGCATTTTGAATATCACTGCTGGTATAGTAGGCTGAGTAATAATGGCACCCCAAAGATGTACACAACCTCATCCCTGGAACCCGTGAATATGTTACCATCACAGGTGACAAAAGGGACTTTACAGATGTGATTAAATTAAGGATCCTGAGATAATCCAGATTCTCCTGGGTTATCCGTGTGGCCCAATATAATCACAAGGGTCCTTATAAGAGGAAGGCAGGAGTGTCAGAGTCAAAGAAGATGTGTTGCCAGAAGCCGAGGTCTGAGTGATATGGGGCTAGAAGCCAGAGAATATAGGTAGCCTCTAGAAGCTGGGAAAGATGGGGAACAGGTTCTTCCCTAGAGCCTCCAGAAAGAATGCAGCTAACACCTCAGTTTTAGCCCCATTAAGCTCATTTTGGCCTTCTGAAATCCAGAACTGTATAATAACGAATTTGTGTTGTTTTAAGCCACTGATTTTGTGGTAATTTGTTACAGTAGCTGTAGGAACATTACACACCTAGGTATGGAATTTTTACTCTTGGAAGAAGGGTGGGAAAGAGGAAAGGGTGATAAGGAGAGAACTAGTAAAGGCTGGAATTTGGTTTGTTGGGCTTTGGAGGGTGCAGGTAGTGGGGACAAGGAATCATGAAGAAGAGAGGGAAGTAAGATTAGTGTAACTACCATGGGGTATGGGATATTAGGGAGAAGAATGTGTAATGAGGACTTTCCTGAAAGTCTCGGTGTATTATAACAGCTTCTTCCTGGCACTGAGAAGGCTTGCTCAGGAGTGACAGTGTGTTTCAAAGTTATGGAGCCCAATTTGCATTGCACTTGAATTTATCACTGTGTTGAGATGGAACTTAGGGTGGGAGTAAAGAGGCTCAGATTTACTTGAGTTATGTATTCTGCTTAGAAATACTAGCTTTATTGCTACCTTTGCAGCATCATTTCATTGGGGTGTTAATGTATTTTTACTCTTTAAATTATAATCTTTTTTATTATTTAGATTCAGTCAGTCCTGCCGTTAACACTTGTAAGGAAAATGAGAATTTATTTCACTGTGACTAAGATACCAGGGCACAATGTGAGTATAACAAGAACTTTGTATTTCCTTATATGTGATTTTGTCTGCAAGAAATACTAGGTGAATGCAGAATCCGGCATCCAACCGAACCGAGCCATATAGGAATGTACAAAATGTACACACACCTCAAACACCCACCAGTCACCTCAGTTTACTGCGTGTGTGATGAGCCCCACCTGTCCACATCTGGTGTTCCATCCTGGGAACCCTCTGTTGCCATTTCTCAATAGCTGGTAGCTGCAACCTCCACGAACAAACTTCAGGTCTTTTTCTAGGTAAAATGCCATATTTATTGTAGTATTTATGTGTTTCTTAACCATTTAACATGTGTAAGACTGCTGTCTTTTTTATTAGGTTCCTGTCATCTTTTTAATGTGTCACTGACAAAGTTTTAGTGTTGTGCCCCTAATCCCATTTCCCCCATAAGCTCTGTGGTTGTTATTGTGCGATTTTATATAGTGTAGTTGATTTTTAGAAAAGTGTATGTCACAGTGTACCGGAACTGACTCTATTTTGTCTGGAAGTGTCACACTTAAATCTCAACAGCATCTAGTTACATCCAGGTAAAGAACAAGACTAGGATAAAGGATTTATTCCTAAGAAAGGAGAAAAGGGGGACGAGGGAGGAAGGCAGAAAGAATGAAAAAAAAACAAACTCTTTCTTATTTTTACACATGGCTTATCTGAGCTCAGATTTCAAAAACCCTGGTGGTACCGCTCCTCCCCTGGCCCCTCCCCATTAGCACAGGGAAGCTCATCTTGGCCTCCATGAGCCTCCTGAAATTATTTGCAAATTGTTGTGTTTATGTTTGTGGGAAGAAGAAAACCTTAAATTTCATTCTCTTCTCCAAGGAAATATCAGGCAGCTGCTATTTTTGTTTTCTAGGTTCCAGAGACTTCTGTGAAGGGCAGTGCGATCCACGCTCCTTCAGCACGTCCACAGCACTGTGCACAAGAGCGACAGCTCCAAACTTTCTGTACAGGACAAGTGAAGGGACAGCTGTCTGGCTGAAGTTACACTTGCGTAGTAAGCACCCTGCTTTTACTTAGCTGCCATGTTTATTTGGTACCTTGGAGTGAGGTGCTGGGTTCTGCTAGATGCCTTCTTTCCAGGAAGATAACCCAGGTCATCACCATGAAAGCATGAAACTTTAGTCACCCACCCGAGGGGATTCGTGGACATATTTCAAGAATTTCTCGAAGGGACTGTGCTTATAGACCCCCTGGTCAGTGTAGGAAGGAGGCCAGGGCACTGAAGGAAGGCTTCCAGCAGGGAGAGCAGGCTGAAGGTGAGAGGAATAAAGGGAAGGAGGGGCTGAAGTCTGAAAATGAATGCTGCTAGGTCATGGGGAAAGATGTGCCAGGTCTAAAACAGTGCTGGTCACTCTCTGCACCCAACTCTTCTGCCCTGTCTATACAGCTCTTCCTTGTGACCGCTGGGTGTCAAATACTCCCTTTCTGCTTTCACTTGCTTTGGCCGCTCATGGGTAGGATTAGATGTCCTGCCTGGCAAACTCTGCAAAGAGAGGTCTCCGGTGTTTAGAGTGATATATGTTATTATAATATGTGCCACTCTGACATGCCAAAGGTATTCAAACAGGTGGCTTGTCTATAGACAACTATGACACCCATCAATGAGGCTAGAGATCAGATGTCCATCATTCCACGACCATCAGGCATAAAGGATGGAGAAAAAGAACTAGAAGATCCAAACTGTCCACCCAAGTTCCATCCTGACCCCACAGCACGAGATGTGACACGTTCCACTGGACTCAAGGCCTGCACCTGTTTCCTTCCCTAGGGTAAGGGGCTGCTAAAAACATCTTCTGTCTTGACCTTGCAGCTCCAAACACATGGTCATGAAAATAAAGAAGTACACCATTGGCCTTTGCTGTGTCCTCTTCCTAAGTTGTCTGCTGAGTTCCTCATTCATAGGAACCTCCTCCCCACGTTCTCCAAGGGGCAGCATCAGGATCTCAGAGAGAGGAGTCTGCAGATTGAATGCCACCCTCATTCTGGACAGTTATTTCTGTTTCTAGGGATGAGGATCATTTTTTGGAAAATCACTAATTTTCATCGTTGTATTTACAAAACTAATACATGTGTGTCATAAAACAAAGAATTCAAAGAACATATAATTGTGTAAAGTAAAAAGCAAAATTTTAAATTGCTCTCTTTTCTTCCCTAATTTTCACTTGCTGGGGGCACTCTTGAGAGTTTACAAAGTATCGTTATAGACTCTTTTCCTATGTACTTAGAACAACAGAGAGGCATAGATATAGATACATACATATTGAAGGAAGTAGAATTATAAATGGACGTAAAGAAGTATAGAAAAACAAATATAAAGATATAGACATAGAAAAAATGTGTTTTTACATAAAAATTTAATCTTACCATACATATTCTACAACTTTCCTTTTTCACTCAACAATATGTCAGAGACAGCAATCCATACAGTACTCACACAGGGCTATCTCATTTAAATAGGTAGATTGATATTCCATTGTATGGCTGTATTATGATTTATCTATTTATAACCCTGCTGATAGACATTTAGAGTGTTTCCAATTTTTATCTCCTACAAACAGTGCTGCAGTGAACATCCTTAAACATCTATGTCTTTAGCATATGTGAACTATATTTCTTTTCGGTACATATCCCACATTTCACGTCCTGAGTGGAAAGATTACATCCTTTTAAAAATTTGATAGAAACTGCCAAATTGCCCTCCGACCTGTCATACCAGTTTATATTCCCACCAGCAAAAGAGTCTCCTTTCCCACTCCATTCTCACAAACACATTTTTTAATAAATACTTTATTCATTTTTTTAAATTAATTAATTAATTAATTGGTTGCATCGGGTCTTAGTTGCAGCAGGTGGGCTCCTTAGTTGCAGCTTGCCAGCTTCTTGGTTGTGGCATGTGAACTCTCAGTTACGGCATGCATGTGGGATCTAGTTCCCTGACCAGGTATCAAACCCAGGCCCCCTGCGTTGGGAGTGCGCAGTCTTATCCACTGTGCCTCCAGGGAAGTCCCTCATAAACACTTTATATTGTGAATATTTTAGATGTTTTCCATTATGCTAAGGCAAAAAAAAAGGCAAAATAAATTAGTATCCTATCATTGATTTGCCTTTCTTTGATCAATAATTAAGTTTGGCATATTTCATATCTCTATTATCAGTGTTTTTTTGTTTTCTTCTGTGAAAAGCCTTGTTCATATTCTTTGCCCATCTATTGGGTTGTTTCTTACCTGTAAAGGCTCTTTTTCTCTTAAAGATATGTTAAACATGTTTAAAGTATTTTCTCTGTGGTGTCTTTTGCCATACAGAGATTTTGTTTTTATGTTACTGGATCTGAGAATCTTGTTTTATGACATAAGCTCCTATTGGATATCAAAAATGTCTCTCCTTCCATAATAATAAATGGTAGAAATTGGTTTAGTCTTCCTCTTGCTTGAGAAATCCTAATGCCAATGAGTCACTATGAATTTAGGAGTACTTTTAAATGAATTTGCATTTAATTCATCACAAGACTAGTTACATACTTTTTTGAAAGTATGAATAATACATGTATGGTTGAAAATGATTTAGTTTATAAACAGTGGCCCACACATCACTGGATTCATGGCACCTGAATACCATCGTTTTAGAACAAAGTTGGATATGATATATAATTACTATATAAGTCTAATCTTATACCACACCCAAGGGGACAAAGCACTGCAGAATCCTAACATGGCATCCGAGCCATCAGTTGTCGATTGTGTTTGCTACACTTTTAGTGCTGAGTGTTTTATTTTACTTAGAGTCTTCAAATATGGATTCTCCATGTACAACGTACACGGTAGCTCTATAATCAAAATTGACTGATTAACAAAGTGGACAACAGGAAAACAGTCTCTGAGATTTGTTCAGTGGACTCAAAGGTTGCCCTGAAATCAGCCTTTAAACTGAAAAATAGTTACACCTGAGAGCCATTTCTGTCACTAATAAAGGGGGTGGGGTTATCTCTGGGAAAAGACCTTGGACCAGTCGAAAAGATACTAATACTAATAATTATTAGGGCAAACACTTATATAGTTAAGTGCTTTACAGACATTATCTCATTTAAAGCACCAATGTGAGATGAGGTACTATGATTATCCCTCCTTACAGATGAGGAAATCAAGGCACAGCAAAGTTGAAGTGATTGGAGGACAACTGTTTGCAGAGCTTGACCATTTCTCTCCATATAAGGAAACTGCCACTGGTGCCAAGGCCATTGGGTTATAACAGAATAGCCTCTGCAGTTCGTGAGACCCCATAATGGGATTAAACCGCAATGGTGATGCTTCTGACATGTGGATTTGGAGAGAGGTGAGGAGTCCTTTTGCAGAATTATTCTTGGTGGTATCCAGAATGTAAATGTACACCTTGTCAGAGTTAATTAAATAATCAGCTTCCGATCTGGGTTGGAATATCCAATTGCCTGTCTTTTATTTTACCCAACCTGGTCCAGTGTAAGATTTGACTTTTTATTACACTAAGTGTAATAATTTTCTGGCATTTTATACCCATACAGGAAGAGAGAAAGAAGTGAATAAACCCTTGCAATCATTTGGATCATGAATAGCACAGACAAAGTCAATCAGGAAAATCAGCTATCTTGACAACTTAATGGCCAAAATGTGGTTAAGTTAGTTACATGTATTTAATCAATTATTGTTCATGTGCCATGTTTTTCAAGCCTTCTCACGGTAATGAAAACATCAGAACACTCATCTTCTGCTCCAGTTAGCTTCCACAACTTTAAAATAGACACTGAGGGGGCAATCAGTACAGAGGAAGACAAAAGAAACGTGCTTACAAAGAGAGCCAACTAAAATTAAATCTTCATGAAATTAAGAGATGGAAGCCTCAGTGTTTTGGTATATCCACAGTTAAGTCATCACAGGGCACGTCAGTGTATTTAAAAAAAGTTGTCTGTTACTTCTGCCATCTGTGTATGTATCACCTGGAAGCTTTAATGGCATGACAGGGATGAGGGACTCCTGCCCTTGACTTGATTTTCATCCAGGCCTCAGAATGACTGCTTTGATCCTTGCTACTATGTTCAGAGAATAATTTTTAATGGGGTTAGTGTTCAGGTCAACATTTATTTTTATTTATTTATTTTTACTTTTCATTGGAGAATAGTTGATTTACAATGTTGTGTTAGTTTCTGCTGTTCAGCAAAGTGAATCAGTTATACATATACTTATATCCATTCTTTTTTAGATTCTTTCCTCATGTAGGTCATTACAGAGTATTGAGTAGAGTTCCCTGTGCTATACAGTATCATTTTATATGTAGTAGTGTGTATATGTCAATCCCAATCTCCCAATTTATCCCTCCCCCCTTTCCCACCCCCGGTAATGATAAGTTTGTTTTCTACATCTGTGACTCTATTTCTGTTTTGTAAATAAGTTCATTTGTACCATTTTTTTAGATTCAACATATAAGTGATATCATATGATATTTGTCTTTCTCTGTATGACTTATTTCACTCAGTATGACAACCTCTAGGTCCATCCATGTCACTACAAATGGCATTGTGTCATTCTTTTTATGGCTGAGTAATATCCCATTGTATATATTTACCACATCTTCTTTATCCATTCCTCTGTTGATGGAGATTTAGGTTGCTCCCATGTCCTCGCTATTGTAAATAGTGCTGCAATGAACATTGGGGTGCATGTATCTTTTTGAATTATGGCTTTCTCCGGATATATGCCCAGGAGTGGGATTGCTGGATCATATGGTAGCTCTATTTTTAGTTTTTTAAGGAACCTCCATACTGTTCTCCATAATGGTTGTACCAGTTTACATTCCTACCAACAGTGTAGGAGGGTTCCCTTTTCTCCACATCCTCTCCAGCATTGTTTGTAGATTTTTTGGTGATGGCCATTCTGACTGGTGTGAGGTGATACCTTATGGTAGTTTTGATTTGCATTTCTCTAGTATTTAGCGATACAGGTCAACGTTTAGGATGGAGACCTTAGAAATGTAAGGATTAAGGTGTCTAGAGAAGGTCCTCAGTAATTATGGAAAACAATGACCCCAGCAGCCCACAATCCAAGTGAACCACAATACCTAGAAAAGTTTTGAGTGTCCACCTCTCCCTCCTTTGATCTCCTCCTGGCTTTCTCTCTGGATCTCTCTCTTCCCCTTTTCTCTTTTGTTGCTCATTCACTCCCAGTTTCTCCTCCTCTTTTCTTCTCTCTCCCTGGCTTTGTTTTCTTTCATCCTAGTTTGTTTTTTGTTCAAATCCTCACACCATGTATGTTTCTCATAAACTCATAACAACACACAATAATAGTTTATTAAATTTCACTTATTATTGGTTGGAGTCCTCCTGAGAAAGAGCTCAAAGAGGGATTCAAGAAAAAGACATTAGAATTAAAAGTCCTTGATAGCAGAAAGCTTTATGTGGAACAAAAGTGTGACA